GCCGCTGGCTGTGTGTGTGGCTGGAGAGGGGTTGGGTTTTTTTTTGGTGTGGAAGGGGGGGAATCAAACCCCCCCTCCCCTCCCGAGCTAGAGTGAGTTCCTCGATCACGCTCGCGTCCGATTCATGTTCCTCGCCGTCCTCCTCCTTCCCACCAGCCGCCGCCGCGCAGGCTGGCTCTTGACATTCACACGCTACGCTCCTCTTGGCTAGGGCTTCGGAAGGCAGGTCCCCCCCTTCGCAAGCAGGGGGGCTCTATCCAGCACCGCATTCCACGCCGGGGGCAGGGCCAGCGAGAGCCCCCGGCTGCCCTGCACCCGCCCCGCGGCAGCCGCCTGGCCACGGGCGGGGGGGTTCAGAGGCTGAATCGGGGAAAGGGGGACAAGAATAAGCGCAGCCCTAACAAAAATCCTGCATAACTCAAGGGGGGTGGGGGTGCTGAGATCCAGAGGAGGAGCCCCGGCGCGGGCGGAGGCATCAAAGGGCCTCCTCCTCCATGTTGTGAGGCCACCGGAGAGATGCAAAACGCTGCACACACACACCCCACCGGCAACCAAAATTATCCCGGAGTCCCAGCTGCGGGGCGGAACGCACTCAAATGGCGAGAGGTTTAATTCCCAGGCACCGGCTCTGCCCCTCCGCGGCGTCTCCGTTCCGTGCTCCGGAGTCTGATTGATGCTTCTCAGCCGCACCAGCCAACACCCCCACACGCGCACTCCGCTTTCCCCTGCACCCCCGCCCGGCCGCCCTGCGAGGCTTCCCCAGGCGACTCAGCTCTGCTGTTTGACAGCGGCGGCGGCGCGGAGGAGCCGATACCAGCACCCGCCAGCGGTGACCTCCAGCCTTTACTGGCGTCAATGCAAATGAGCCGGCGAGGGCCAATCTGCTGCGCCACCGCAGGAGCCAGGCGGCCCCGCGCGAAGGAGCGAATTTCAAACAGCTCCCGGGTTCGCCGCGGCTGGTCCCGCTAGCGCGCACAGAGCGCTCGTAGCTGTCCCCTCCCCGACAGGACAGTGCACCGAGCAGAGGTGGCTCCCGCGGGAAAGCTGGGGAGGGGAGATAGAGCAAGGGGACCCTGGCCCTGGCAGCTGCCCACCGGCCGCACCTGTGGCTGGGCACTGGGACTGGCTCTCCACTCTCATTGCCAGCTCTGCTTCTGGCTACCTCGGAGCCCTGGGCTTCAGGGAGCTGGGCAGCCTTCTCCTCTGTAAACTGGCGATGAAGATACTTGGAGCCCTGCAAATCCGCGGGTATCCGCATGCGGATACAAATTTGGTATTCTCGAACTCCGCAAATTAGCGGATTTCCCCTTCATAGCAGTAGGGCTGTGTCCAGACTCAGGGTTTTTTTTCGAAAAAAGTAGCCTTTTTTCGAAAAAACTTCACCTGCGTCTAGACTGCAGCCGCGTTCTTTCGAAATGAAATCGAAAGAACGCGGCTTTTCATTCGACGGTGGTAAACCTAATTCCACGAGGAAGAACGCCTTCTTTCGAAAGTGCTCTTTCGAAAGAAGGCGTTCTTGAAAGCAAACAGGCTTTTTAGAAAGAGCATCCAGACTCACTGGGTGCTTTCTTTCGAAAAAGCGGCTTGCTTTTTCGAAATTCCGCGTGCAGTCTAGACGCTCTCTTTCGAAAGAGGCTCTTTCGAAAGAGGCTTGCAGTCTAGACATAGCCTAGGTGTGCTCTCTGCCTCTTCGATGTGGAAAGCCATGGCTCTTTTTTACAGAGCACAAAGGAGCACTGTCACAGGCGGTAAGAAAGGAGCACATAAGGGGTACTCTACACAGCAGCGTTATTTCAGAATAACTGACATGATTTCAAAATAACACAGTGCACATCTACACTACAAGCCTTTATATCAAAATAATGTCAGGCTGAAGGACTTCTTACGTTGAGTAATGGTAACTTTCATTTCACCAGGCGTAAGGGAAGTCAAAGGAAGTGTTCTTCCTTCAACTTCCTGCTGTGTACACAGTGTCAAAAGCTGAATTAAGCAATTTTGACTTCAGCTACGCAACTGATGTAGCTGAAGTTGCGTAGCTTAATTCAACTTTTGCCCTGCTGTGCAAATGCACCCAAAGAGTCCTTACAGCATAGGTGTTAACTCAGGGACTAAACTCTATCCCAGATCTTCCATTTCTGTAATGTTTGTCTGACACCAAGACTTCCTCTGAGGACCACCAAGACTTCCTCTGAGGATCACCACAGTCTTGCTTTCCTCTGCCCCTTCCACTCCTCTGCCCTGTAGAGGTTGGACCTCTCTAGTCCAACACCCTCAGGACCTGACCAGAGAACTTGCTGAACTACAGGAGGTCAATATTGTCTAGTAGCAGTATCAACAATTTCACTGGGCTCTTAGAAGACATTCAGGGGTAAATTTGAGCAAAATAATAGCACAGAAAATTGAGAGCCAGGACTGTAGTGATAATGAGTTGGTGGGGGGGTATGGGAAAGGGGAATAATGTCTTTGAGAAACACTGATCTAGATTCTAAATTAGATTATTGTTCTTTAAAGTGGTTAGCAGACCATTCTGAGAAAGCTGCTACCAGACTATTCCAGTTTGTTTACTTACTGACTCCACAGCCATGAAGCCTCATGGCTCTCATTGATTTGCCATTTGCAGCCAAGGGGAGCTGTGGGAAGCAGCGGCCCAAGTCACGCTGCTTCCCACGGCTCTTCTTGGCTGCAAATGGTGAACTACAAGCAACGGGATGTTTGGATTTATTTTAAACTTACTTCAGAATGTCTTGGGTTTGTAATGCTTGGTTTGGGGATAAATTACAACATCCCTGTAATGTTTGATATCATTAATGTTTTATATCTTTGCAACATATACTTTCAACCTTAACTTTATTTTAATGTCAGTTTTTGTTTGCGAACATTTGTTAGTGGTGGGAGGGCTCTATGAAGCAGGCAATGAATGCAAGAGCATCAATGTCATACATTTAAGCATATTCAGAATGTTGCAGTAAATGTTTGTTTGTACTGATGTATGTTGCAGACAACGTCAGTTGCTTGAATGCTCTTTTTCAAATAATAGTGAAGAGTGAGGGGGGATTTGATAGCAGCCTTCAACTTCCTGAAGGGAGCTTCCAAAGAGGATAGAGAAAGGCTGTTTTCAGTAGTGACAGGTGGTAGAACAAGGAGCAATGGTCTCAAATTGTGGTGGGAGAGGTCCAGGTTGGATATTAGGAAAAACTATTTCACTAGGAGGGTGGTGAAGCACTGGAATGGGTTACCTAGGGATGTAGTGGAGTCTCCATCCATAGAGGTGTTTAAGTCTCGGCTTGACAAAGCCCAGGCTAGGTTGATTTAGTTGGGATTGGTCCTGCCTAGAGCAGGGGGCTGGACTTGATGACCTTCTGAGGTCTCTTCCAGCTCTATGGTTCTATAATTCTATGAATAGATTAAACTAAATACAAAAATAAAGTGTTATTTGAGTGTAATGCAGACTTCTACGAATTCTCTTAAGATCACAGATGTTCAGCTAATCTGGTACCAATGTGTGAATTGTGACAGTACAAATGCTAGACAGTATTAAAACACAAACACTTGAAAGCAACTGTCTCTAATGCAGAGTATGAAGTGTCAGCACAGCCAATACCCATTGCCTAAAAATTATTTAACTAACAATGAATGCTTCAGCCACAGAAACAGAACATATAACTACCCCCAAAATGTAGCCAATGCAGCATTAAGGGTAGTCAATGAAGCATTAAGTTATGTGCAAACCTCTGTAAAACAAGACACTGAGAAGTAGGGTAATGCAAATAAACTTCTGAAAACCAGGAATAATGGAGTTAAAAGATGCATCACTCCCACCATACAACCTTAACTCTGGACTCTTCAAGTGATACCCCAACACAACCATAAAAAACAGACTAGCATTCTACCCTTGCAAATGCTAGAGATTAACACTGAATAAAGCAAACAAGCACTGTAAGACAAAGACTAACACCTTCTCATTCTAAGGCAAAATGTAGGTTTATGTCAGACATAGCCACCCAGAGCAACAGAGCCTACTCCATACAAGTCACTCCAGACTTGTAAAATGTTACAACCTCTTCACCTACAGACATTGCCTTTACTTCCCCATCATCGTGCCTTAGAAATTGGTCACGTGTGCCACCAGACTGCTGACAATCCCCATGGCAAGACCCATTGTGCACCATTACTAACAGAATGACAGAACTCAACACTGAAATGACATACTGGATCCTTTATGATATATGTGCACTTCTCACATCACAGTGACAGCTTTGTCAAGCTGCTCTAACTTACCCCACCATCATTCAGTGCAGCTACCTTAGCACTAGTGCATGCAGATAAATACTGGAATTCAAATATGTAGAAGGCAACACAAACAATGGCATATTCTCTTTGTCTACATATTCAAGTCTACTCATCACAGCACACCCTCATACAACCATTCCCAGGGTACGTCTAAACTACATGGCTCCATCGACGGAGCCATGTAGATTTGTTGTTTTGGCAAAGGCAAATGAAGCTGCGATTTAAATGATCGCGGCTTCATTTAAATTTACATGGCTGCCGCGCTGAGCCGACAAACAGTTGATCAGCTGTTTGTCCGCTCAGTGCGCTAGTCTGGACGCTCCCCTACCAACATCAAAGCCCTTTGTCGGCGGTAAACCTCATCCCACGAGGAATAACGGGGCTGCCGACAAAGGGCTTTGATGTCGGCAGGGGAGCGTCCAGACTAGCACGCTGAGGGGACAAACAGCTGATCAGCTGTTTGTCGGCTCAGCGCGGCAGCCATGTAAATTTAAATGAAGCCGTGATCATTTAAATCGCGGCTTCATTTGCCTTTGCCTATGTGTCTAATCTACATGCCTCTGATGTCAGAGGCATGTAGTCTAGACACAGCCCCAGTGTCTTCTGAATAGTGCCATTGGG